GCATTTGCGGTCGTTCAAAATTCAGTTAACCCAAGAAATACAGCCTAGTGACCATGAAAGTTGCCGACAATTCAGTTATGCAATATTGCAGCTTAATACCCAAAATAGCTACTTTTACCGACAACTGATAATGGGCGATGAAGCCCATTTCGATATGAAGGAATTTGTCAATAAGCAGAATTGTCGTATCTGGGCATAAGAGAACCCTCGTGTCGTCCATCAACGACGAATTCATACTCGTCCAGACACAGTCTGGTGCTGTGTTTGGTATAGACCTTATTTCTTTGATGTCGCTGCGGGTAACTCTGTTAATGTCACTGGCGAGCGCTTCAGTGATATGGCTCCTCAAATCCAACAATTTGACCTCGCAAAACATGTGGTTCCAGTAGGACGGAGCAACTTGACACACGGCTAGGGAGACAATTAATCTTTTGCGAACAATACTTACAGGACGTTTAATTTCTCGGTTTGATGATGTCAACTGGCCACCAAGGCCACCGGGTTTAACGTTTTATGACTATTTTATGAGGATTTTATAAAAAAATCAACAAAACAAATACTGTAGAGCAGCTAAAAAACAATATTACGGAAGCGATTGACAATATTCCTACAGAACCTACCAAAAAGTAATGGAAAATGAATATTAAAAGGGCATGTTCTAAGGCACCAGGTTGTTAATTACATGCAAAATAATGCGTTTTTGGGTGACTTAGGTAGTGCCATTCTCTGTTTTTATTTTACAGTCGTTGCCTAATCCAAAGAGAGAGAGGTAGAGATGGGGGGGAGATTGACGTATAGGGGTGCGTTCATTAGTACCATTTGCTGTAGTTCTATGGTTTATACGCTATTGTACTATGTGGTTTTTTAAAGCCCCGTATTTAGTTTGTTCCAAAGAAAAGAGGGTAGGTTCTGAAAAAATGATTGCATCTGCTACTCTCTCCAGTACGCATGCAGTGGGTAACAGGGGACCGCTGTTTTCATTCCCTTTCTGGAAATACTAATAAATAATAAATTTAGCACTAGCTGTCGGCCTTCTCCATTGATCGTATTTCCGGGCATTCTGACAAATGTGATTGTAGGGCACTCATACATAAGACAAAGACACACAACTAAAAAACGTATGTCTCTGAGCTTACCGAACAAACGTTCACATTCAGGGGAAGGTTGCATGTGTATGTATGAGGGTGATGGAAATATATACGAGGATACTTTGACCCGCCAAGAACGGAGACGACAACTATAGCTAAGACTTTTTTAATAACGCAGCAGTATTTTAAGATTTGCCTATAAACCTTAGGCCCTTTAGGTTTAAATTTTCAGACAGTCCGTGAAAGTAAGAATATGTCTTCAAAGTTAGTGCCAGTATCGAAATCTAGAATATTACCACCAATCCCAAAAAAGAACCTAACGTTGAGGGCATATTTTCGGTCAATGATTCTTCACGTACTGTTAAGAGATGTGTTTTTTGTTGTTTTGAACCAACCATTCAAACCTTTTGGTCAAAGGTTTACCAGGGCCCTGATTTAGTACGTAGTTAGCAATTCTTGACAAAGGATTCTACTATCAACTAATGAGATACTATGGAGACGTATAAATAAGATAGTTATGACATATCTGTTAATTTTCTGTGATTTAACTTCGATACAGTCCATTTTTAAACACGGGTTCACTGCTTATAGCTTCTACAGATATAATTACAAAAATGTCAGAAATATAGGATATAGAATATCTTGTTGGTATCTCATTTTAACAAAATGCTAGTTGGGAATATGGTCCTATTACTGAAAGTAAATTAGCTAGATTAGGAATTTACTAGTAGCATGTTCTAATATATCGTGGCAAGCTTATGTATATTAATGCCAAACTAAATTAGTACCTTCAGTCTAACGATCTTCATGGAACAAGCATAACTACCCAAGCGTGATAGTGATCATTCGTTAAGCAACAATTTTTAGGTTATACAGGGTGTAAATGTTATGATATTCATTATTTAAATGGGTGATAGATGGGGTTAAAATAAGCAAAAAGTTTCATATAACATGGGAGTCAGAACGGCATTTTTTTAGACAAAAGTGACTTTAAACTGATATAAAATCGCAGCGAGTTTGTTATTTTTGGCTCTTAGGTATTATTTCATTATCTGATAATGTACTCGTAAAATGCGAACAATTAAATAAAACGGACTCACCACCAACTGTCTCAGCGCTTCACCTGGTGTGTGAAAGTTTATTGAACGTATTAAAGAAATCCACTCATATATAGGAAACACAAGTTTGATACATACATTGTTTTTCTTTTTAAAACCCACATTGAGCTTTTTTTGTCTTTGAAGAAGGTGTTCAAAATGTCGTCCTCCACTTTCCACACAAGCTTCATTATGATCTTCACGAATGGTATGAGGATTTTGTTGGGTCCACGTGTGAGTATTATGGAAATTTAATATCCCGTCTCGCGTAAAAGTACATTCATTCGTCGCTAGAATGTTTTTGAAAAAATCCGGCTTTTCAGTAGTTTTGTGCAAAAACCACGGACAGAATGATAGTCTGCGAGGATAGTCTTCTGGTAACAAGGCCTGCACTCGTTGTACCTGGTAGGGGTAAAGCAAATTGCCCCGTAGGATTCTATGGACTATGGTATGCGATAGTCCTACGCGGCAGCCTGATTCCCGAGTGCTGATATCTGCATTGATTTCTACGATATTTAAAATTTGTTCCTCCTGCTCTACAGTAACCTGTCTTTCACGAGTGCGAATATTAGTGGGCTGAACACTTCCTATATCTCGAAGTCTTTGGTACACTTGCACAAATGTTTTTCTGTCTAGGTGTACCTGTTGGCGAAATCTGTCGCGATAAATTTGAGCTGCAAGATTTGAATTCTGACGAGCTTCAACGTAAACTAACAACATGTCGGCGAACTTTTGATTCGAGAACAATGTAAATAAACACGCGAACAAAAACAAAACAACAGGCCCGATGCCCGATAACTAACCACTGTTACCGTTTGCGATAGATTGCCGGTTCGATAATAGTGATGAAAGATCGACGCGCTGTTGTCATGTGTGTTTTAAATATTTAATATAATGAAACTTACTTACTTACTGACTACAAAGTTTGGCTTAACTTAGAAAAACTCAATGCCACTTATTTGTTAATTACCCAATTCAAAAACGTTTTAGATTAGATTATAAAAATTAGTAAGATTGTGGTGATTGTGGTCGATATAAAGCACTTAAAGTTGTAAACTATAAAGCCACTTAGACAAAAATCTATAGTCTTTTGGACCATGGGTCATATGAACTTTTTGACTTGGTTTGACCTCCCCTATTACCAATTTCAATAATGACTACTATAACGTTTACACCCTGTATTATAATATCCCAACAGGACTATAATGCAATCGTTAGTTAGACAGTGACGCTCAAAATGTGTGAGATTTAAAACCAAACCTATCAGCGTCTCTAGCAAGCACCCCTTGAAGTGAATACTGTGATTGTTACCTGAAATATAGCACATATTCACGCTCGGACATTATTATATTGCCGGAAAATGGAGCACTTTGCAGTAGCTAAGCGTGTTTATATGAGTATTTGCGTGAAGGGCGGAGTTTATTCCATTAGATTAATTATTATTTGCTAGTTACTCCTCAGCAAAGGAAATAGTAAGGGTACTGTGATCCCTAGTTTGATTAAGAGTCCGTAATGGGTTACTTAGGCAGATTCTGTTGGATGTTTGGAAGTTTGTTTTATGTATGCATGATGACATAGAGGTAACTCAACGTGATTCTCCTTGAAATGTGGTGGCGTTGTACAGGGTAGATCATTTATAATCTTCTAATTTTTTGTTGTACCAATTTTTGGAATAGACTTCAAGATATTACAATACCCCTGGAACAGAAAAGACATTTGATAACATCGTTACCAGAAATTTTGGTGCAATAACAAGAAGTATGGTCATCGTCAAGTGTATTAATTCACTAATGGGGAATCTCCTCGTCTACATGTTTTATTTAATGTGGTAAGATTATACAGGGTGTCACACTATTCCGTGGACATAGAAAAACGACGTATTTTCAGACTCAAAGTAAGTCGATTGGACATAACTCACTTGCATGCAAAATTGCATCGTTTGTCCATTAGGGGGCGTCCATTTTAAAGCACATTTTTTGGAACCGATAGTCCGATTTGAATGAAATTTGGAACACATTGCTAGACGACCTTATATTTGACTTTTATAAAAAACCCGAAAGGGTTTGAAAACGGTGAAAGCTACACAGACCCTTTCATAAATTATAGCAGAATTTTTTCTCGACTCCCAATGACTCTGAATTATTTTATTTTAAATATTATTCTATCTATTTCCATCTCGTGTAGTTTTCCAGAAAAAAAATGTTTTTGGAAGCTTGTTTCTAAAAAACTTTCTTATTAGGTACATCAAGTGTTAAAATCTAGTAGGCGGAAATGTGGTACGTTATGTCAATGTCAGATTATTTTTGACCACTGGCTTTATAGAGTTTAAATTAATAAGTAATGTTTGAGTTTATTTTGATGTTAATTTGTTGTTGACTCTTGATGAATTTTAAATTACTTAGCGTTTGAGGTTATTTATGGTGTAGTTGTTTGTTGTTGCTTGTCTTTCTTGTGAATATGGAATATTCTTATGACAAACAGACGGATATGTTGTTAGTACTTGGTCTCTGTGCAAGTTATTGCAGAAGAAGTGTTTGCGATAGCCGAATCGACAAATTCCGAATTGTCAAACTTTGCTGGCATAGAGAAATTGGTCGCTTCCAACCCTTAATTGTCAAATTGTACTATCATACATGTTAATTTTCGCTATTTTTCTCGAAAAATATTCTAGATCGACTGTTTTTATAGGAGACATATAATGAAGTGAACGATAAGATCTGTTAACACGTTGACTGCGATATCGGTCTCCGGAGACCTACACCGCACAGACAGATTCAAATAATTAGTAGACGTCGGTATAGGTCTCCAGAGACATATACATAATCTTACGGACAAACGCGTTCGATCCTGTTTCGCCGTCATTTGTGTACCGAATTCGAGTGGATGAAGTTGTGTTTTAGATTTACTCTCCGAAAATGTTTTCTTCCCGCGTTAAAAAAATTATGGAAATAACAAAAAATCTACAAAATACTGGAGCATTGCCCACAGATGTCGACACACAAACAAATACACCTGAAAATGAAATTGAAATCATTGAAGCAGAGTCATCGGACGATGAAAATCAAATAAATAGTCCTGGAAGAAATTATCTTACAAGTGGAGATGAATTTTCCGACTTTGGGAGTGATGATTCTATCATAGATAAAGACTATTACCCATCTTCGTCGGATTCTGATGAAAATCCCCATAATCTGTTTGATGATACAATCGAAGGTAATAGATATTTCCAACACAATGTCTGTTTCTGTTGTTTCAGTTTTATTTTTTTTTGTTTTCCATCCAGGCAGTGCCGCCGAGGCCGATGATTTCGATTCAAATACAGCTGATGAAAATGAAGCTAATGACACCACAGATGATGAAAATGGAAATATGCCGCATGTTGGGCTAGATACTAATAATTGGCAAGACATTGTTGAAGGACAGGTACCTTTTAACGTCTGTAATGAGTCAGCTGAACTTAATTTTGACGTTAGTCAGATTTTGAGTCCACTGGATGCTTATAAACTTTTTGTGACTGACGACATTTGGCATATCATTGTTGAAGAGACAAATAGATACGCCCAACAAAGCTTAACAGGACGAAGAAATTCAAAATCCAGATTAAATGTTTGGGTGGACACAGATAAAAACGAAGTCATGCGTTTTTTCTCAATTATCCTAGTAATGGGTTTTAACTCACTTCCGTCAGTTAATTTCTACTGGTCAAAAGATCCTATGTTCAGAAATGAGTTTATAGCAAAGACAATGCCACGTGATAGATTTCTCCTTTTACTTCGATGATTACATTTTTGCAACAACGAAGACCCATTTTTGGATACTAACGACAGGTTGTACAAAATCAAAAACGTATTGGAGGTACTTAACAGGAATTTTCGAAATGTCCTGACTCCTGGGAGAATTCTGATTATCGACGAGTCTATGGTTCCTTTCAGAGGTCGATTAAAATTTCGCCAGTATATTCCTAATAAAACGCACAAGTATGGTGTCAAACTTTATAAATTGTGTGCTGTTGATGGATACACAGTCCAAGTTATTATATATACTGGAAAAAATGAAAAGGTTGAAGGCCAACAGCATTCAGAAACGATGGTTTTAGAACTTCTAAAATCTGTGGAAGCTAAAGAAGGGCATTATCTTTTTGCAGATAATTTTTATAGCAGCTTGCCTCTAGCAAAAAAACTATATGAGGAAAAAATTGTCTACTGCGGAACACTACGTGCAAATAGGAAAGGAATCCCAAAATCTTTCCAAAAAAAGTTAAAAAAAGGAGAGACGTACGGTCAACAAAATGGGTGCGTTAAAATTATAAAATGGGTTGATAAAAGACCAGTTTTAATGCTGACTACCAATCCTACTCATATTAGCACTGTTGAAGCAACTGGAAAAAAATCAAGAAAGGGTGAAGATATTGTAAAGCCTAAGTGTGTTACAGATTATAACAAAGCTAAAAAAGGAGTTGATTATAGTGACCAGATGTCTTCATATCACTCGGTTCTACGTCGAGGCCTAAAATGGTACAGAAAAGTTATGAATGAATTTTTATTTGGAACATGTATCGTAAATGCCTGGATCATTTTCAATCGGATTTCAAAGAACAAAATGTCAATAACCGAATTTAGAAAAACTTTAGCGGAACAGTTAAGAGATCCTCCTACAGTTGTTTCCGAACCAACAACACGTAAAAGTATTCACACTTTCAGAAAACCAACTGGCCCAGGAAGAAAAAAAAGGAAGATTTGTAGAGGATGCTATCAAAACCTTCGGACAACTGTATCCAGCCGTGAAGCAAATAAGAAAGTCACCAAAGTAACAAGTTTTTGTGAAGATTGTCCCGGAAAACCTGGCATGTGTCTTCCCTGCTTCAATAAATTACACACATAATAATAACCTTTGTTGCAATAAATTCATCTAACAGCACATTTATGATTTAAATATTATATTCTTGAAATATATTGTTTGGTTTTACTGGTAAAATATCAAAATTTGAAATAAAATGAATATAAGTGTTATATGTATGCTTAAAATCCATCTAGCCATTGATGCGGTATAAGTCGTCAGGGACTTATACGGAGCCAAACTTACCGTCACCTAGAATATATTTACAGATTTCTGCAATTATTTTTCGATTCTGGTTTGAACATAAAATGTTAGAGGGCTTTAGTTAAACGCTTGCCTATCGGTCTCCGAAGACCTATACCGTGTCAGAATAATGTCATACTATCGGTCCCGGGCGACTTATATCGCACTGAAAAAATAGTGCCGTTTTTTCGCAACGCAGTCAACGTGTTTTAAATAAAAAAGCACAGTCGTTGAGAAATTCTGTTATAATTTATGTAGGGGTGGGGGTAGTTTTCACCGTTTTCGAACCGTTAAGAGATGTTCGTGAGAGTCTAGCAAAAGATATGATCAAAATTTCATTCAAATCGGACTATTCTTAAAATCCCTTCATAAATGTGTTTCAATCGACTTATTTTGAGTCTAAAAGTACGGAATATTGGGACACCCTGTATAAAATAATTCCGAAGTTGACTAGTATCGTCAGACGAACGATTTTCATGGAACAAGCATAAATGAGCTAATAATAAGGGTATATTAATATGTCGACAGGCATGGGCGCCTATTGGGGTGGCAAGGGAGCATATGCCCTCCTGGATTCTGCTTCTTAGTGAAATATTCTTAATAAGATAGCCAATCTTTGGATAGGAAGTGGCGTGTGAGAACATCCCAACATAGAAGATATTCTTTCGGCTACCATTTTGAAGGCTGCACCCCCCCTCCCCATCTTGTAAAACCAAACATGCCCCGCCCTGGATTTTGCTATATCGGCGGTCATATCGACAGGATTATGTCTCTATTCGTCATTGTCTGTGAGAGCGGTTCGTAGGGCTTGGTTAAAGTATTGTAAGGTCTAACACGTCTGGTTGCCCAGATATGAGACACAGGGAGAAAGAAGGGAAGAAGAAAGAAAATTAATTTAGAGATTTGTTGTTAAAAATTATAACTTTGGTTTGACCTAAAGTCGCACAGTGCGAGCCGCGGGCTTCTGTGCTTGCGAAGTTGATCGAGTCTGTAGCCTTAAGCATCCCACAAACCGGCGCGAAATATTCGCTTTGGCTGCGAAAATTTCGCGGCGATGAATTCGCGATCAGATTAAAACGCGGCGGTTTACGGACAGGCTCAGACTTGTGCGAAGCGAATGCGATTGTTCCAGCGTTTTTATCGCGGCGTATTTCAGTTCGCCTTTGACCGCGTTTTTGACGCCGTTCTTCAAAAATTCGCAATGGCAAAAACGGAATTATTGATAGACATAGTGAAAAAGTATCCTTGTTTGTATGATTTGTCGAACGATGAATACAGGAATGTGAGAAAGGAAGACAAGATTTGGATGGAAATAGGAAAAGAATTAAATACAAATGGTATGTACCTAATATTTTTTATTAACTTGTTAAATAATTTACAGTCTACACAAATGTGAAAACGAACATTCTATATATTGGTCATAGGCATATCAGAATTAAAATAATTTACGAATTTGTCACGAGTACAAAATGCTAGCCTTGCTGCCCGCCGAGGATCATTTGCTATATCAGTAAAAGCTCCAAGCACGGGTTCTGGGGGACCTAAGAATTGAAAATATTTGTCATCGACACTTTTACTTCGTAAAAAAATGTGTAAAACACATGCCATACGTACAATTAGAATAGTAGTATCTACTTTAGTTTCTAATGGCCTGTAAAATATTCGCCATTTTTGAGACAAAATACCAAACGCATTTTCCACGACCCTTCTGTCTGCTTATAAGGAAATGGTCTCATAAGGTATGGTTTTAAAGCAAATGCTTCATCACCAATTAAAACGTACGAGCAGATTTCATTTTGCCCAGGGAGAAATCTAGGTGCAGGGACACTCATTAAATTCTGTTCAAATCGTTTTCCCATGTTTGAGGTTTCGAAAATGCCCCCATCACTATTTTTTCCGAAACCACCAATATCAACACATATAAATTTATAGTCCGGGCCAACAATGGCCATAAGTACTATTGAATATTTATGTAAATAGCACCAGTAATTGGAGCCACTGTTGTTAGGTCTCTTGATTGTTACATGTTTACCGTCCACGGTGACGAAGCAATTGGGAAATCCCCATCTATTTTCAAATTCTTCAGCACATTTTTCCGTATATTCTCTGTTGGTTCTGGTAAATATATATGCTTCATATGTCTGCATATCGCTTCAAAGACTTCGGTTACGATTGCACTCACTGTTGTAAAGCCAACTCGAAAGCTATGCCCAATGGTATAGAAGGTGTCACCAGTGGCAAGGAATCTATAAAAAAAAATCGTTTTTAGGTGATGAAGTAAAAAAAAGGTGGAAGAATATCAGAGACACATTTGCAAAATATATAAAATCTACTAAACCAAAGACCGGCCAAGCAGTGGGCAACATAAAAAAATGGCAGTGGGCTGACTACATGAGATTTTTCCGTCCTTTTTTGGCATTTGCCAAAACGTCGTCTAATGTGAAAGATATTGACGTCATACATTATAAGACTGCCGAATTTAACTCAAATATATATCAGGAAAGGGCTGGAAATGTAGAAACCGAAAATTTGGAAGACCGCGGCCATGGAGAAGATGAAAATGCTGATGTAGATGCAGAGGATGCACAGAACGCCTCGGCAACACAGACAGCACCACCTTCTTCATTGAACACTACAGCAGTGACTACTCCAGGGCACACCTTTCCGCAGACTGCAACTACACCAAAATATAAAACGAGCAGAAAACGCTATGAACCACCATCTTCGTCTGTACAACAGCTCATTAATTATTTTGAAGGTAAAAAACCTAAAAAAGAGAACGAGGCCATTGATTCACTTTTCTTGGCACATGCACAGACTGTGAAAACACTTCCCTTAAAGCGTCAAGCCCGAATAAAACTAAAAATAGCCGAATTAATAGCGCACGAAGAATTTGAACATATTGAAGTAATGTCTTCAGCGTCTACCCAGAATTCTGCAAGTATGTATGATAGTAGTATGTCGTCCTTCCCAAGCGGCACTGGGTTTACTCCAATAATATACCCAACAGAGGAGGCAAATTCTGCCTCGAATTATTTAGCAACATTTAATCCTAGTGGCAACATGTAGTCCAATTATTACAATAAAATATTTATTTCACGATCCCTGAAGTTTTCGTATTCGATAAGCCTACTAATTTTAATACATATAATTTTTTTATCTGAGTGTAATAGCAAGTCGTTCTTCTGGCGAAATAGCTTCACGATAATTTGTGTCAGATTTTCGTATTTCATCTTTCACCAAGTTCAATATTTCATCGAAACACTCTGGAGTCATTCTAAAATATACGTAAAAGCGCTGTTCATCCAGCCGAAGTTGTGGCATCAAGGTATGGTATTCCCCAAATTTATTTCGTTCCAAGTTAATATCATGTACCCACTTCCTTCGTTTCCTAAACAAAATTGAAAATATTTGTTTTATGTACTTCGTTACTTCGTAACTTAATACATACCCAACTATCAAATGGCGTTAAATAAACATAACTTACCGTGCATTTTGTTCCTCTTCTAAAGCAAGAAATAGAAGTGCCTCCTCTTCTTCTGAAGACGAGCCCATTGCAAAAGGCAAAAATAAAATGTACGCAACCTGTCGAAACCTTCACGTTCGCGGAGCGAATAAGACGCTTTGGTATGAATAAACAGGCGAAACAGATTGCGAATTTCGCTCTGAATTTCGTTGCGAATACTTCGCCGCGATTATTTCGCGCCGGTTTGTGGGATGCTTTTGACTCGCGTAACAAAGGATTGCGATTCCGCACAGGTCATTATGCCATTGAGGGAAACTCAAGCACTTGGCAGTAGCTATGGTTATTGGCGTGACGAATGGACTTCGATCAAAACGCAGTATTCTCTTTATTATATTTCGGGATCCAGTCCTCAATATTACATAATTGTGTAGTAGTGGCTTTCCATACTTTTTATCACGAGGTTCAAAGCAAAGGAAAAATGCGCCCGTCCGGTCCTGACTGCCGTTCACCTTGATGATCTAGTGGCGCATCGACCTATTCGCTTCATTCTTCAAAGTATCCAGATGTATTACCTGCAACTCTCAGGGGCGGGTAGGGGTAGGGTTTGTAATATTTTCGGACTGGACCCTCATATAATTACGATCGAACTTCAGGTAAGTTCGTTTGATCGATAAATTATATTTCGGGATCCAGTCCTCAATATTACATAATTGTGTAGCTGTTTAAAGGAAGTTGCAGTAAGACAGGTGGAAGCAACTTTTATTTTAAGAAAAACGAAAAAGTTGATACAAACGTTAAACAAATTCAAATAACCGTAAGTATATCCTCTATGTTTCTGATGATAATAGATTCAAGACAGATGTTAAATAATTGTCTTTCTCTACTAGAGGTCTATTGTAAAACCTTGCAAAGGTTTGAGAGTCCTGGCTCCAACCAGCTGATCTGCGTATTGCATCTATATGCACCCCTTGTCTTAGCGCACATGAAGTGGAAGCGTGCCTTGAGGAATGGGGTTTGAACATATTTGTGTCGATTCCTGCCTTTGCCATTGTATTTTTTACCCAGCGACTCAAGGTTTGCTTAGTAGCTGGGCCATGTGGTTTATTGAAGGTGAGAAATAGCTTATCACAATCGGCAGGGCGGAGTGGTTTAGTTAGTTCCAGGTACTGATGTAGGCAAGAAGCAACACACAAGTTAGGACATTCATAAAAATATGGCAATGACAACTTAGGTTGAAGTGTTTTAGGCCCTGAAGTTTTCACAAAATCGGGGATTTGGATGTCTGCCCCTGAGGTAGAAAATTTAATATTAGGACATCTAATAAGAGCAACAGTCTGGATTCTCTGTCCGGTAGCTAACACTAAGAGAGCAACTAATTTACAGGATACGGATC